TCTGTTTCCCAAGATACAACGGAAGAACCGAAACTAATCCGGCGAACTGGAACTATGCCTGGACCAAAACAATTAAAACAATAATGGGGAAAAAGCCTTTATGTGGGTTTTTTCTTTTCTTGGTGTTATCTCACTCTCGTGTCTTTCTCTTCAAAGAAGACAAGCCTCTTATATAGACTAAGATAAAGGACTTCATTAATTAAACCATTTAATATAAACTTAATAAAGTTAAATTAAATGTAACATTAATAAAACTAAGTTACAAGTTTTGAAAATGAAGACACAGTTTCAAATTCATTTTTCAGTTGCAAATTAATTCACACTTTTCCAACAGTAGAAAGATGACGTGGAGATGATATGAATGAGAAAGAGTGTTAACTTTTGATTAAATGAATTATACAGATGTGGCACCCTAAGTTAGATTTTTTTTCACCAAACCAAATAAACTCATACACTTTCTTACCATTCAAATGCACAGAGACCGATTAATCAATTGCAGTAGTTAAAAATTAAAATAGCCTCACCCACTCTCCACTTCTCTCTCTAAAATTCTTTCTCTTCCTTATCTTTAATTTTTCCTCTTTCTTTCTTTCATTTTTCCACTTTTCAGTTTTCCCGGTGATCGTTTTTTAGGTCCTTTTAGCGGCATCCTCTTTCTTTTTCCGGTTTCAAGTATTTCAGTTTTTATTTATTTTTCTTTTTTTTTTTTGTCCCGGTCTCAGGCGACCATCTCCCAGGTTCCGGCGACCATCATCCAGCCTCCGACTGCTTCCTCTCTGAACCCGGCAAGGTCAGAGTTCCAGCCTTTGGCCACGACAGGCACGGCCCTTTCGGGCTCGGCCATGGCCATGCCTCAAGCTGCGACATTTTCCGGCCTCACGCAATCGGAAATCGAAATTAAAAAAGAAGCGAAAAAAATAGCTGAAAAAGGACAAAACCCGTCGGGGGCCGTCACTACGTCAGGTCCGACGGGTGCCGGTTTCCCGGAGCTCAGGATTTTCAGTCTGGCTCCGACCGGTCTCCCTCGTTGGACGGATGCCTTTTCAATTGAACGGGTCGCCACCTTGCTGCAGCCAGATTCCGGCCTCCAGACGCCGCTGGAGACTACGGTGCTATAGTCGGATTCTGGCACCCGGTCACAGCCTCGGAGCACCTCATTGTTCTCGTTCGACCAGCCGAAGGCCATGGTCGCCGCCGTCGCGGGTTTGGATTCAGAGATCGCCGGCCAGCTTGTGAATGGTTCGGTCGCACTTTCGCCGGAGTTTTTCCCAGTTGCCAACGGGCCTTCTCAGTTGATTGTGAACACATCGGCTAATGCAGAAGCTTTATATGTCGACGACCGGTTGGAGAGGGGAAACCCAATCAGGACCAACGACGTGGCTCGTTCTCTACTGCTAGATTTTGCTGACCGGTCAACATGCATAGGGTCTGAGAGGGCTACCCTCATTTGGGCGACTGGGCCGTTGATGGGCCAGCCCTCTCCTGGGTCGCTTTTCACACCAACATATCAGGGCCTTTCAACTGGGCCTTCTCTCCGTGGCCCCTTTTTCTCAGCCCAGAACACTTGGACCCTGCCCCAGTTACCAGCAACCTGGGCTACCTCTTCTTCAGCTGGTACTCCTCCCTTGGCTCCACGTCCAGGTCAGAGATGTTGGGCCGCCCCACACTATTGCGTCGTAGGTCACGCCAAGCCCACTGGGCCCCAAGTAAACTACCCTCTCTACACACCTTCTGAATCCTCTGGCCCATTTTACCCAGAGCCCACCTCCACTCTATCGGCTGACCCACCCATGACCCAACCCAACAAACCGAACCCCGCTCAATCCCAGCCCACTACTCAGCCCACCATATACCAGCCCACAACATACCCTCAGCTCACTCAGGCCCAGCCCACATCACCCACTGCCAAGCCCCACCAATTTAAGCCCAGTTCACCAACCTACCAAGCCCGCTCCCAGCCACAGCCCAATCACCCCCAGCCCATCTCAACCCAGCCCGACCCGTTGACCCAACCTCACCCATATACACTCTAGCCCAACCCCAACTCAGCCCCTCCACCCACTTAGCCCACACCTCAGCCCATCCTCAGTCCACCATCTGCAGCCTCTTCCATGGCCCCGGCGGCTGCCGCCTCCACCACCACACCGCTGGCCGGCGGCCCAAGTTCCGGCGCCGGTGCCGACGACTCTCAGCCCCCGACAGGCAAGTTTTGACTGTCGGAATCCTTGGACCCGGGCCTCTTTCTCAGCCGAGCCCTGTCACGCCGGCAACCGTAACCGCTTCCCTGATCACTGGAGATTCTCGGACCGAACAGCCCCCGACGGGCATCCCTCCGGGCCTTTCCACGACCTATGGGACCATTCCGACTACTACTACGGCGACACCGGCCACGACATCCACCGGAAGCCGAGACATCAAAGATTCTTGCTCGACAAATTCCGGGATAACCCTCATGGGTCCGTCTCGCGCTCCGAGGACGGACGGTTCATGGTAAGTTTTTCTCAGGACGATGTTTCTTCTCTTGTCGCGCCGTTCGCCAATACCTTGACATTTAAATTCTCTTATACTGTCCCCAATCTTCGAGATTTCTCTGCTGGATTAGGGAAATTAGGGTACAAGGGTAGGTTCACTCCCAAGTATTATAATTCCAACCACTATCTAGTCACTTATGAGTTCAGGGACGACTATAAGGCGACGTGGCTCAAGACGTCGGTGAACGTCTGCGGGTGCACTGCTCGGGTGTTTAAGTATACCTTTGACTTTTCTCAGATTGAGGTTGATGCCATCACGACCAACCGAACGAGGACATCCTTCACACGTGTGTGCGTCGAGATAGACCTCTGCGACAAGCTCGTCCATGAGATTAAGCTCGACCAGGCCGGGAAGACCAACATTCAGAAGGTGGTCTACGAGAGGGTCCCTCCGTAATGTACTTTGTGTGACCACGTGGGTCACGTTGGGGATAATTGCCACACCAGTGGCAACAAGTCCTGATTGTCGCTTTCGCCTTGCCACCGTGCGGCTAGTCGGGCCCCTCTGCTACTTCGGAGAATCCCAACGGTAAAGGCAAGACCTCTGTGATGAAGATCGTGTATCTCGGTTTGCTTCGAACCCGCGCCCAACACCTTGATTCTCCGCGATAGATGCTTTGAAGGGCACACTAAGGGCCTTCTTTCTAAGCTTGTGACGAACGACGCACTAATGACCTTCTTTCGAACACGATTGTATGATAAAACTCTCACGCATTCTAACACACGAGATTTGTGCTCAAGTGGGACATTTTTCTTATTAATTCAATCATGTAAAATAATGATGAATTCATAGGCTTATTTATAGGAGAGAATCTAGTGCGGTACCGCCAGATGCACGGGTCTCGTAATATTAATGGAAGCATTTTGATTTGGATGATGGTGTAATTGTTCAAAATCTAAAATGCATTTATTAGAATAAAAAAAATGTTGTATATATATTATTAAACACCTCTTTGTGCACAATAAAAGTTTTTGTCATCGTTACATCCACAAATTAAAATATTCAAACTCTGACAATTCGTAACGTGTGAAATAATTATACAATTGACTGAGAGTGCTAGAAAGAGGGAGAGGAGTGAAGAATCAACCCCAAATGTTTAGGGCAGAGAGTTTTTAAAGTGGCAAGATAAAAGGCTGAAATTTAATCTCAAAATGGAACCATCTAATTAGACAGAGTTTTTAAAGTGGCAAGATAAAGCTGAAATTTAATCTCAAAATGGAACCATCCAAATTAGATGCCACCAATGAGGGTGAAGTTCAAATGAAATTGGGCCATGACTTTCTTGGGCCTAAGATAGAAAAGTACAAGTTGGTAACAACTTTTCAACAAAAGCATACAATCCTTCTGAGAAATGATTTTTCTCTTATTTTTTTAGTTTAATAATTG